TTTTTAATGAGTTTATATAGATTAATATTTTAACATCGAAACATGAGTCTCTAGATCCTTTTTATGTTTATGTAAAAAAGAGCTAAATGGTGGGAATATTTACAAATATTTTTAGGTATTTCCACATCATTACTGTCTGTATATTTTAGGATTGCATTTATTTTGGAAAACACATAACTGATATTTTAGCTGTACTAGAACTTTAAATATTTTTCTACAATACCTAGCTATATAATGGAGTTTTATGAATCATCCTTAAGTGAAACATCGGTACAATCTGAATGAAAACTGTTAAAAATAATTCAAAATGTAGTGTTTCAATTATCTTTCGAATAATTCGTGTATATTAAAACATTTCATACTCTAATCAAAAATAGGTGGAATCAATTTAAATCGAAATAATATGTAGATATTGTAGCTGAAAGAAATCATCAGAGTAAAGCATAGTATATCATCAGAACCTAATTTACCTACTTACTATATGACGACGATAATAAATTACTTAATATCCGGAACTATCAAATTTCGCTAGGATTTCGTATATTTATTTTCTTGTTGTTTACAACGTCAGACTGGTCGTACGAATTGACGTAAACAAATTCCTCGCGACCATCCAAATAAAAGCAATGAATTAATAAAATGCAAATGAAAGTTTACGGCTCCCCGTATAAATTAGAATCTAATAATTCTTATCATTTAACACGTGCGTTACATTGAAATTGATTTAATTATAAACGATTCATTTATATGCGTAGACACGTTTTTTCCTCTTTCATTCTTGTTTCATTTCGCAGCTTAATTTGCACGATATAAATTTGGAATTTCACTGATTAAATCAAAATGTTTGTATATTTATGTTCCCAAAAATCCGTCGGTGTATCCACTACAAATTTTTACTTAATAATTTATACGAGATTTAATTATATATTTTTAAGTTTTTATCCTAAAGTTTTCACGAATATTTGTCAGAAACCAAATTGAGTTTATATTATTTTAATTAAAATTAGGTATTCAAAAGAAAATATCGTGTAGTAGGTAAATGATGGAAAAAGCCTCAATTTTGACTAATATTGACTAATATTTTTGAAGTACCTATTATCTTTTTACGAAACATAACATTTTTTGTGTTCGCCCATAAGTTTTCGATATTTTAACTATGTTAAAATTATATTATATTAAAAATATATACTTAAAATTATATTATACCTACCATGTATGTGATTGAAGACGATTAGAAAGTATGTAGTTGTATTATATAATACAGTATACAGCATATTAGGTTATTCATATCAGTATTTTTTACCTCTATTTTAAGCCTTAATGCATTGACGGTACAGACGAAATATCGAGCTCAATGGCGCAGTGGCTAGCGCGCTCTGTCTGCGATGCGGTTGTAAAATAACTTTCGCAATGACTTGTCATAGGATGGGTGACCAAAATTTATTATCTCAAACTCCTCCGTGCTTCAGATGAGACGTTTAGCCGTTGGTCATGGCTGCATCTGCAGTCGTTATCAACCCACTGGGCCCGCGTGGACGGACATGACCCTTTCTCCATATTCGATTCGATTAAATTACATCCATATGGAAGCCCTGAGCCCCAGCAGTAGCTGCATTAATTTATCATTAATTTTGTCTATCTGATGATAGACAAAATCATCCGGAAGATAAATTGTAGCAACTGACGTGTTGCTCTGTTATAAACTATTCTTGGTATTCAACAATGTTCTTCGAATATTGAAAAACATATTAAACTTTTGATTTACATAAACCAAACAGGATGTTTACATATTATCTTTATGAAAAATCAAATGAAACATTTGGGATTCAAGTTGTTTCAGAGTTCATTTAAGTTTATTACTTACTTATTGATACAAAATAGTAAGCAGTAATAGTAAGGTAAACAAATAATAAAGAGCTAGAAGTCGAATGAACAAGCAGCTTCAATATATTCTTTGTAAATATTACGATTAACTACACTATATTGAACTTAATTGACTGATTTAGCACTCTAAGATATTATAAAATAAAATTCATTTAATGCGAGCTTGAAATCATATAAGTAGGAAACTACTTAGAGTTGAATCTTATTGGACAAAATAATGGTGACGTCAGTACCATTACCGTGACTACTTTTGACGTTTGTAAGACGTCTAAACCGGCCGCCGAAGCGGATTCCAGGCGAGACTAGTTTGCCATATGTCGTTGGCATTGTAGTTGGTGACTGCATTAAGATAGTAGTGATTCACACACTATATGGGAAGAAGGAGGGGTTTGACTGCAATGTGGAGATTAAGAACTTTTGCAAGGGTCGGTTGGTAAACAAGTGGTTGCTTATGGTTCGTTCTACTTCTTTGATTTCATTGACGGGGAAGGCCCAGGCCCTAGCAGTTGGGAAATTTTAAGGTAATTACCATATAATTTTTGGAGATACCCCAGTATTTGGGAAAGTGGCAATGGCAAATGGGCGTAGTCAACAAGCAAGCTAAGTGAGGTAGACTAAGGTACAATATAATACATTTTTATATGAGCGATCTTATTTGATTCGCTATTGTAGTATCTCAATGAGTATGCAAATTATGTATTACAAGCAGAAAAAATAATATTGAAAAACAATACAATTGAAACCTGACATTGAGCTCTTCGTAGACGAGCTGTTAATTTAAAATCCCCGCGCATGACTTGACAATTCTAAGCAAAAGTGAATCAGTATTGTTTCCAGACTCATTTAAATTCGAAATTCCTTTAACTCAACCACCTCGATGTAATTCTTTATTTTCTGATATATTTTTCTTCCCCGTGTATCATAATTGAGGAACGCTGTATACTGCCAAGCAACAATATGCGGGGTCAAGGCCCTCATTTGTAAACATACAAGAAGGTCACTTGAATTCTTTAAAAAAGAAGACAATTTTAAGAATCGAGTTCGTATATTTTTATTTTATCGTAATCGCTTGCAATGTGACTTCTGTAATCAATCAACCTTGACCTCTTTAGCGTAAAACCTCTATACTCGTTCGTTTGTTTATATTTTTAAATCTATGGACTATGGGACGAATTCTCTCCGCTACGCGTATATAAACACAATAAGCTATTGTGCTACATTTGGTGTGGGTTTTACCAATAGATTATGTTATTCCCGGGAAAGGTTTAAAAGTAGCGTCATATGGGTAAAGTGTGGGCAGCGGATAAGTGAACGCATAGTTAATTATTACTGCTGATGACCTGGGGCTTATTTTAAAATCTATCGCAATCCTTTTTAATTTGACAATTTAAAGCTATTCACAAATTACACAACTATTTGAAATGTAATAGCTATTTTTTTCCAGTTAAGTTTTTTTTTAAAGATATCCCAAATTAAAGGCAGGCGTTACCGAAAACTTTTTTGAAAACTATTGAGAAAAAATCTTTCGATGACATTAGTTAAGTAAGCTTAGCTAAGTTTTAAATATGTTTCTTAAGCATTCAAATTTATTTTTTGTTCCAAAATAGACTGCTATTTAAATTGGGAGCAATTGATTTTGAAATTAGATAGTTGACCACTGACCCTTTTTAGGCCTTGTGGGTCTTCAAAGCGTTGTAACTAACCCAAACAGGAAAATATATTTTAACGTGAGCAGTCTTTAAAATATTGTGTTGTGGCAAAATTAATACCATTGAAGCCTGTGATATGTCAAAGTTAATAAAAAAAAATCCTCTTTACTCTTGAAACGACCATAGCTGGGTTCTAATCCTAAATTGGCTAAAACCGGGTCTTCTAGGTACCTCCTTAATAATTTCACATTTCTATAAATTCTTTTTTCGTCTTCTGTTTTCCAGCAATTAAATTACCTATTTAAATTTATCATGTGCTTTATTTCACCGAAATTTTGGGTAAATTTCATGTTTCATGTAAATTACTCTCATCCAAAGCCGAGATGGGTCACTTGTCATATTGTCTTTGAGTACAAATGAAGCGAAGAGATAACCCAGTGAACTACGTATCAGTTCTCATCGTTTAAACTTTCCTTGTATTACAACAAACATTACAGAACCAAAATCATATAAATAGGCCAGCCGCTCTCGAGTTTTAACAAGACAAACTTTTTGCTTTCAAAGATTATATAAAAATTACATATATGAACAAATATATAAAAAGTAAAATAAACTTATAAGGTCGGCAATGTTACTTAGGACTGATTTTTATTAGACTATCAAAAGTTGGAATGAATTTACAAAATAAATGTTACTTCATAATGTAATCAAAACAATCTCTATTAATATCGTTTCTTCATGAAAACTTTAACATTATAAAATAATTAAGTTGAGTTATGTAAGCCCCATTACCGCTTATTTATAATCATAAATGTACATAACTTTTGACATCCAAATTACTATTGATCGAGTAACCTTCATAAACCTTTAGAAGTTATCTTAGAGGTCATTTCGCGTAATCCGTAATTGTTAATTTACATTTGTTGTTAAATCCTGCGTGATGGCTTATTTACGCTGATCGAAGGCGTCGATCGAAGGTGATCGATTTTCGATAAAATCGGAATCGGAATCCGTTTTCGAAGCTGTTTTCAACATAATGTAGTTAGAGCTGTGCGTCAATAAATTAGTCAGTCAAACAATTTTCATAATTTAAGCAACATAAAAATAGGAGAAGCTCGACGTCATAAGCGCGAAAGCGCGCTCGGTCTGCGATACCGTTGTTAAGCAACTTTCGCAATGGCTGGTCGTAGGATGGGTGACCAAAACTTTATTATATCGAGCTCCTTCGTGCTTCGGAAATCACTTTAAGCCATTTGTCCCGGCTGCATCTACACACTTTAATACCCACCAGCCCCATTTGGCGCTCCAAAGGCTCCCTGTTGTATTTGATTCGTTTCCATCTTTAGTGAAGGCCGAAGCTCCAGAAGTGGAGGCATTAATAGACTGGTGATGACAAAAACTATTGATATTTTTTCAACTGAACAATTGGTTTCTTTAATTTATAATTCCATCATTCCTTCCTTCCAGCTCACAAGTTCGGCTGCTACGTAAAAGAGGTGGACGATGTAATACCGTTTGGACAATATGTGTCACCTATAGGATCCTGTCTCAGAATTGATTGTGGAAGATCAATGATATACTATGCCTCGTAAGTATAAAAATTTCTTCCAAATATTCTTATAATCTCATAACAAACAATGACTTAAATACATTTTTTTTATTCAAATATTATCTTGTTGGTTGCTCTTTTTAGGTACCTCTATATGAATAATCAAATAAATTTTTAATTGAACTCCAAATGTTTTTTTCCCTATTTTTAATACGTTTTGTTTCTGTAATAAGCCAAAAATATTTTTAATATCTACTTGAAAAATAAAATGGCTATAAATAAATAAATATAGCAATTTTACGTTATCTTACTCCTCTCGAAATTTAAATACACCAAATTAATTAGTTAGTTATGTAGAAATATAATGTGTATTTAATTTATTTTACAGATGTGGTGTAGCTGCAGTCGCAGGAGATACAGACTGTTACCTAACAGAAGAAAATCTGGAAAAACCATACCCCGACTGCTGTCCACAAATAAAATGCATAGACGAAAATAAATTATGAAGATTACCATTAATCGGTATTAATATCTGAATAAATTTAGTTATTCGACTGAAAAAATAAAGACTTGGAAAACAACATTAATATTTGAAAGTGAATTAACATGACTGTATTGTTAGTACATTATTAGTAATTTATTGGTTAAGTAACACTTAGGAAATGGCTCAAATTTTACTGCTTAGTTCAATGGTAGAATGACGTAGTTATTTGCCCTTATATACTGCTTTTACAGGAGTCCTTTTATATTATAATCTATTTAATAGGATTAACGGAGTAAAAAATATTAAAGGTGAAGTCAATATGTCAGTACAACAGGACAGGTCGCACGACAAGCAACGGATTATATGAAATAATCCTATGACGTCATCAGCATAATTCGCAATTGAAAAAAAATATATAACCAGTCTGCTCTTTTCTTCATAAAACTTTAATTGTGAATATCATATTTTTCCATCCGCGCCATTTTCGCAAAGAGATAAGTTATAAATCTCAAAATATTAGCACAGGAGTGGTGATCTAATTTGAAAGCAAACTCTGACGATAATTCTCTTACAAACTGTAAATAATCGCCATCCTTACAATTTTTTGTAAACCAAGTGTGAACCATGTTCTCATTTCTAGTTTAGTGATAATTAAGTTTGTATTATAGTTAAACAGTGCTATTCTGTTATAAAAGCTTTGAACTGTCGAGTTAGTGCTGTTATACCATAAAGGTTTAATCAAATTATCTCTACTTTAAAGAGTTATTAAGGTTTTATAGCATGGAACCCTTATGATGGCACTGCTTCACGTAGTTCGAGGCTGATTTTAACAGAATAACATGTCAGCTCATGATCAATAATAGTACTTACCACTATTATATAAAATACTTAGTACTATGTTCTCATGAGACTTACTGTTGTAATAATATTAAGATGAGATACTCTTACGTGTTAGATAGAGTTCCTTATTAATCGGTTAGATATTGAGAAATATTTTTTTTTCGACGCTAACTTTAGATGCTATCTTGCCACCAAATTATTGAATTATTTATTTAAATTAATTAAAAGAACCTAGTGTCAAATAAGTGTTTTTTTTTTTTATAATCCTTAATGAGTACGAATCTTCTTACACAACTGTCGCCATCTAATGAAGAAACAATACATTTAATGAAAAATACTTATCAAATTCTTTTACCTCAGTACATAGTACATTGTAACTATGTTAAGGAGAGCTCGAAATAAAGGATTTATGATGAAAAACTGGAATTAATGGAATCAAAATGAGAAAACCAGGAAAAGGCTGTGTGACAACTGTAATTTTTGGCATGTATAACAAAAATACGTACAAAATCAATAAAAAAGTTCTTTGGATTGATTCAACTTTGGTAACATCCTCTTAAAATAATAAATATAATAATTGACTGAATAAATTTATTATAAGTTTTAACTTTTTAGAAATATAAGTTTTAACTAGTGCTTGAACTAGGGATTATAGATATTGCTACAAAACACAATTATTGTGATCATCATCAGCTTATTTATGTCTCTAATGCTGCGGCACGGACGTCCTCTATAGATACAATTGATTAGGGCGAATGGACCATGGCCCATCAGGAGTGTGGATTGTTGGGAGTTTTGCTATGTATTATATTTTTAGTCGCCTATCCCGTAACTACTTCCGCATCGCAGACTAAACGAGTACCAAAGTCCACATAGAGACAGATCTGAAGAGACCAAAGACGATGATGTTGCGTCATTTCATCACTAAGTTCCTATGACCACCTTCCGACTTTATCGTTATAAAAGCTTAATGACACTATTACATTTCAAATCTATCGGATATTGGGACGTGGGTCAAATTTGAGTTCAAAGATTTGCGCACTAATATTTCATAAAAGCTTGTAATAAAAAGCGAAGCCAAGATGGATGCCATCTCAATAAAAGCCAGTGTATCATCCCTGGATGGAAATAATAACAAGATAGGCGGTGTTATCCTGATGAGGATCTTTAGAGTTTTGAATATTATTAACCGATTTCAAAAAAGAAGGAGGTTTTAAATTAGACTGTATTTTTTTCTGTTTGTCACCTCATAACATTTTGAAGTTTTTTTTTTTATATGAAAGCTAGTGTTTGCCGTGTGGTCTTATTATAAATTGGTAGAGATCTGGCAATGGCTTCTATAAGAAAACCATATGTCTTAAATTTGCATTAAGTATACGTGATGTTTGTTACCTCAAAACTTTTTACAGAGTGAACCGATCCTATTGATTCCTTTTTTTATTTGAAAGCTGGTGCTTCCGGTGTGGTCCAGTTTCAATTTTTAGCATAGTATTTGTAAAACTTATGAGAACGTTAAGGTATATTAACAGACTTTAGGTTTGTACTTTAACACTAAAAATGCTTTTTCAGAAAAGGATTTTTAGTGTTACCTTTTATATAAAAATATCAATATCACTAAAAAGCATGAAATAAAAAAAAACTTAAAAAATAAAACCAACTTTAAACTTAAAAATTATACTTATCTGAAATGCAAGAATATGCTATTGAAATCACACATCTATAAATTAATTAATAACCCACAGAAAACCTTCGCCCCACTTTCTTTTTCTTGAATATGTCGCTTTTGAGATAAGTATTATTTTACCCTTTTTTATGTTTGAAATCGGTTCTATTTTTTTATGCTTTCCAAAAATATATGGCTATTTATTTCACTAAATCAATGATGTGTACCCAAATAAGTAATTGAATCGAAACGTCTGATTTGCACTTGATAATTTTTCGTGTTATGTTTATGCATTTAATAGTATAGTTTATGAACATTGATAACCTTCTAATCGGAATTGTTTGAACTGTTAAATTTGAAAGATATGCTTGAAAAAATAATTAGAAAAACCGTGCTCTGGTACAGAGCTTTGGGGACAGTGATGTGGAATTGAAAAATTACAATATCGTCATGTCTATAGTGTCGTTAGCCATTAGTTTCCGATGTTAATATGTTTTAAAGTATGTACAATAATAATAATAAGAAATTCATATCTAAAAATATAAAATGCAGCAACCTTCCAATTAATGCACGCATGAAGTCTTAATAGTGAACTAATAATTAACAATACTGAATAAGAATGTAAACTATGGACTGCTTGACTTCCATGTATTTAAGACAAGGAGGTTTTATGGCAATTAAACCATTTTATATTTAGTTTTAATAAATGTGGTAATCTACATACATAATAAATGGGCCCACGAGTATAATTAGATACAAAATCTTAATTTCTTAATTTTTTATGTATACAGAATATATATGTATTTAGAATATATAATACGTTTACACATGTTAATTAATTAATTAAAAAAGCCAAGCACTTCAATAGATATAGAATAATGTTTTGTTTTTTAGAAGAATAAACGGATTTGGTATCCGTTGAGAGAATCAAATGCCATTATTATGGCATTTGATTCTCTCAACCATGAAACAAAAATTGAAAAAACACTGTAGTGTGTCAAAAAATTACTGAAATTTTAGTATAAGAATTCAATTATGTTTTTAACTATATAGAAAACTTTAATTAATTAACCAGAGTCTGCAGAAACATGCAACCCTACGGGTGTACCCCAGGGTTAATATTAGGACCCTATTTGAACTCAAATTGTAATACGAATTGTAACTACTAATCTTGGAATCCGAGCAATGTATATGATGTTGTTATATATTTATTTGTTATGATTAGGTACATAACTCGTCGACAACGCGCTGGGCAAGAGCTCAAATAACGAATGACATACTTTTAATTCGTGGAATTCGTGAATATGGATAACCTTCTTATCGGATCTGTTCGAACTCTTAATGTAAACAAAAATCGGTTTGCATTTATAGTTATAGTATTATTTATTATTAAATTACTGGGACGTACTTGATAATTTATAATTTTTAAGTCTGTAAAAATCCAAACCCGAATTCAAATTCACTCAGATGTCCGAATTTACTCCAAAAAGCGGCATTCGCTTAATCTTGAATCGGTAATAACGTTTCGGGCATAAGCGTAGTGAGTTTAAGTGTAATAATATTCAATAAATTTTGTTTTGTATTTTTATACAAAAGTTCTATCATTCTTCCACTTAATGACGTGAAATCGGACACAAGAGTGAATTCGAATTCAGGTTTTGATTTTTATAGAATCACAGAGGTGTTCTTAGTATGTCCATGTATTCGATTTTAGTAAAAAGAAAAACTGCATTCATACATTATAACAGTAACCGTTTAACCAATATAGTATTTTTGCTAATATTATGATCTTGGACATAGTTAAAGGCAAGTGATATCGATAGCTAAAAGTTGTTTTTGCTTTTTTTTTTTTCTTTTTTTTTTCGGCGGTAGGCGTGAATTAAGCAACATCAACTGTCTGAGGTAATTTTATTTTAAAATTAAAATAATTACTATAATTCTTACAACAACTAGCTTAAACCATTATTTATAGTTCATTTCATTGCATATATTGTTAGTAGAACAATCTAATGCATATTTAAGGCAGTGACCTGCACTCACCTGCTACTCCAAGTTACAGTTACAGTTTTGTTTACTTAATATCTACTGCACATTTCAACTTTACTATGGCCAGCGTTGAAGCTGTTATTGAGACACAGAAGTCACTTGAGTCTGCTGTGATGCTCAGGATGAAGGAGTTTGAAGCTCTTCTTAAATCATCCCCTTTAGACAAGGACAAGGTACCACAAGTGCGGGATGAGTTTGAGTCCTTTAAGAAGATTGTCTGGAGTATACTATCCCTCCTAAGACAGCAGATTGGTGAGGTCTCGAAAGCACTGGATGGGCAGGAAGCGAGGCATCGGAGCAAGCATCTTCTTCTCTGTGGAGTCCCCAAGAAACCTGATGAGAACTTAAAAGCTACCGTTATAACTCTGCTGCAGAAACACCTAGGCATCAGAGACTTGGATCCCTCATCTTTTAAGTCATGTTACCGGCTGGGTGCCCTTGCTGAGGGCCGTTCTCGTCCTGTTGTTTTCCGG